TGGGAATTTTAAACGAATCAATTTCTTATGAAACGAATGTATAGAGAAGAGCTACCGTAATTTTACTTTTAAACCAAATTCTTGTTTGTTCTTTTCTCTTTCTACTTCAGAATTCTAAGAAATACAAAGATGAATAATATATTTGTAGAGATAAGACACACTAATTATTAAGTTCTCAAATAAAAATCATTTGATAAAAATGGTAGTCAGAGGTCAAAGAATCTTTTGCTAGCAGCACTGTCTCAACTGCAGATAAATTAATTTTTTCCACATTTGAAAAGCAGTACTTTTTAAAATAACTTGACTTTGGTTCGCTTATTACCTCTGATTGACAATGCCTTCTAAAGTTGTCTTTCATTGCTTTTCTTACAGCAGTTTACAGCTGGCAGTCTGATTAAGACAAACGGGTCTGACTTTGTTACAGCCCTAACACTTGTCTATTTCAGCTAATCCTTCCGCAGTGCTTGTTTAAAAACGATTGACAGATCAACGTTGTAGTTCATTCATTATATTTCCATCTACCAACACCACAGAAACCATCCTTACTGGTTACCGACCGGAATACAGAACAGCTGTACTTTAGCTTATCAGCTTTACCACTGAAGCATTTTAAATAATTCAAGTCACTGTTAGTCGGATAACTGATCCGATTTTTTTGTGCCATTCCTACAGTAGTGCTGCAACTGCAAAAAAAGAAAAAAAAATGAAAACAGTGACTGCTTTTGGATGTATCAAACAGACGAATATTGATAGCCGTGACCTATATATGTTAAGAAAAAATAAGAAGAAGAAAAAAGACAAAGAATACATTTTATTTTTTCTTCTTTAGTCGTTGTCGCCAGTACACTTTTTAAGCCACATTTTACTCAAACTAATAAAAAAAATCCATTTTCAAGCAACAGCTAAACAAAAAAAAAAAAAAGCTAAAAAATATACAGAAAATAAGTGACAAAAACGCTATTGAAAATTAACGTTAGCCATTTTTTATTTGTAACATAAGTGGCTTTTTTTAACAAAAAAAAAAAAAAAAAAAAAA